ATTCGTACTGACGTTGCATACGATAGCCACACTACAAACGAACGTTTAATTTTTGACATGGGTGGATGACAAGGAGATTGAAATATTTAGGAGTTTGCTGTAATCAAGCCTGGAGTATTCGATGAAATGAATACTGCACCGATGAAACTCGAAATGGTCTGTTCTCACGAAAAAGAAATATATGAAAATAAATTAAATAAAAAAGGAGTATACATGGGCATAGAGTTTGCGTTTTAATACTTCCTTTTGATTCAGGGCGTGGACCTGGGTTCCTTGAAAACTGAAATGTAAACAAAGTAATCTTTGATGATGACTTCTGTCTGTTCAGTTTCTTGATCTGAGTATGGTATGTAGCGAGGCGTTTACCGTCAATTATCAATAGCAAAATATTGCTTTGCGATGGGTTTGCGCGAATGCCCCCTATTTTACCTTTCCTTTCGGAGTTGTATAGGATTGCGCGAATTCTTCTGCAACTGAAAACTCATATTATGTTTGTGCGAATATTCAATATTCAACGAGGAGGCGTTGATCTGGCAACATTGGTACTTTGACCTTCAGAAAACCTGCAGTTTTTCTGGAGAGTTTCCGCGAATTCACCTAAATGATCTCAAATAAAAGTATCGACAATTTCGACGCAATAGTTTTGTTCGTTCTTTCTTTTAATGTAACAAAACAAAACAAAACAAAAACTTAAAAAAAATGGAAGAAAGTCAAGAGTGATGAGACGTAGTCCTCCAGCATTTCTACAGTCTGGTAAGCACTGATGTGCGTTTGTCGCCAACAGACCGACTGCATTTCGTTTCGCGCAATGCGAGAAGTATTCATGTAGTCTTGCAGGCGCTAATATACGTTTAACGCTGGCCGCATTATGTTTGGCGCGATTATCCGAACTCGCGTTATTCGAATAATGGTGGCATCGAATAGTAGAGCTTAAACGTCGTGTTTCGACGCCGTATGAGCATTCCAACGTTGCCTAGTTTCTCCCGATTAAATATTTTTTCCGAGAAAATTTAGGTAAATTCTATTTACACACGACCATTATTCAATATTTTCTCTTCATACATCATTAGAGGGTAAGACATCGATGACTTGTCAACAAACTACCCTAAAATAGCGTTAACATGAAAATGCGTTTATTTTCCAACTGTTTCCTGATTTGCCAAACTTCTACCTTAAATTAACTTCATCTTGAATTCGCGCATTTCCCAATAGTTAAGGTTTTCCTCTTTTGGTATATTGTAAGTATTTATTTATTTTTTTCCAGTTGAAAATGTGTTTTTTAGGATCCCAGAATAGGCCCCGGTTTTTTAAAAAAACGTAATTCCTTCATCTGTAGCTATCGATGGTCATTTTCCATGTACAGTTTTATCTACTGAACTCTATCGGCCGAATTAGCAGAGCCGCAGGGCGAGATTAAAAAGATGCTATCAGTTCAAAGGGGCTGACAGGTATTAATTCAGATCGGGCCTTGCAACCCCACGATAAATTGTAAAAGAAGAAGAAAAGCATCGTCCTCCGCAGACATTGAAACTCCGTGAGTTTTAGGGATATACTTTCAGCTCATTACTTCACTTCTCACAACCTCCGGATTCAATTGGGCCAAATTTTGTAGGCCCGGCCTCCTCTTGGTTTTGGCTCATTGTGTATTCTGGGCAAGAATCACCGAGGCCGAGTTCAACCTTTACGCTGCCGCGCCACGGAAAAAGGCCGTATGAACATTCGAGAGTTGCCAAATTTCCTCCGATAAAATGTTAATTTTTGAGGAAAGTTATGAATATTTTCCCTTGAGATTTTCAGGATCTTACGGCGAAATTTCGAAAAAAATTACCTTAAAAATTGGGAGAAAAATATTCATAAGTTTATCAGGAAATCCGTATTTTATCAGAGGAACTTTGGCAACGTCTGAAAGCTTATAGGGCGTTGTCCCCTAGCGAGGCAGTGCGGCTGTCTTCCTGGACATTGAAGGGTGTGTGGACTTCCTCACCGCGTGCATATAGATTCTCTTCACGGAAAATGTATTCTCATCCCAGAATTAGTTTGGGTCTTATAAACGGTCCCTTCCTAGGGGCGCCGAGTGTGTTGCTTCAACCTTCAGTTTGTTTCAACTTCAGGAAGATTTGACTGAGTTAGAAAAACAAACATGCAATGATATTGTTTAAGTGTTCGAGCTTTTTGTGATTTAAGCTTTGCAAGTTCTTAATAGGCGTTTCCACGATCACGGATGTTTCATATCTTTCACGTTCTTTCATGAAGAGTTACATTATCACGACTTCAATCTGTTATACCTTTGTCTCGTAACCACGACGTTAGAATTGGCAGGAAAAGAGTTATTTTATTCTCTCAATAATGTTTATGAAAATAAAATTTAACAGATTCTTTGCTAAAATATATGAAACACCGAAGAAAATATTCATGACATTTTGTGATTCCAGCTTTATTTCATAAATGAAATTAGACGCACAGAAAGCGCCCAGATCTACGTATAGTCCAGGCGCCTGGTAAGTCTACCTGGTATTTTGGTTACACAGCGATTTTTTTGGCTGACTTTATGTTTTTGGGTCGCTGAATCCGAATCTGAAGTTTTCTACCGCGTATCTGGTGAGAATTTTCCGCCATTTTGAAAAAATGGCCTAAGAAGGCCTTTTTTGCGGATTTTTTTTATATAGCGGCTACGCATGAGAAAAAGTCCCGGATTTAGTTAATGTTTTGAATAGCTGTCATAATTTGGAAGAAACTGGTATATGAGTATGCTAGGTTTGCTCAAAAATTGAGGAACCTCGGATCTCGAAACTTTGGAACCGGAACTTGGCTGACTGCGGCGAGCCGGATAGCGCGTTGACGGGTGCGCTGCGAAAACGTGAATGGGAGGGATGTTCACGATGCTGTATCTTCCTCAATTTTTAAGCAAACCTAGCATATGTATACACCATTTTCTTCCAAATTATGTCAGCTATTCAAAAAATTAACTAAATCCGGGACTTTTTCTCATGTGTAGCCGCTATATAAAAAAACCGCAAAAAAAAAGCCTTTTTAGGTCATTTTTTCAAAATGGCGGAAAATGCTCACCAGATACAAGGTAGGAAACTTCAGATTCGGATTCAGCGACCCAAAAAACATAAAATAAACCAAAAAATCGCTGTGTACCTGAAATTTCAGGTAGCCTCATTTTTAGCTACCAGGCGCCTGGACCAGTACTCAAAAGTGTCACAATCATTTCACCGGCCGCCTAAAAAAATGAGAGAACACTAAATAATATTTCAATCTCGCTTCACCTTCACAACTGGTATCCCGGGTAAGAAGGATTTCTGGATTAAAATGACTAAAAAAACCAAGTATGCGTGTTTTTAGTCTCATACTCATTTCCCTAACACAAATTTTCCGTTTGTTTGTTATTGGAGTCAGGAAAACAGAATTGGTAAGGATTGAAATAGCATGAAAAATATTATTCATCGGGCAACTCTTTGGGATGCTACCCGTATGATTCCAAGATTTCCACGATAGAAGATTTTCTAAATGTTTGCGCAGGTCGCAACTTCATAGCTATACAGTCTTCGCATGTCGTATAAATAACGATTAACTACTCGAATCCTTTAATTCGTATCATTGAGTACATCTGAAAAACCAATAAAACCACCAAATGATTATTATTTATATTTTCGCGGCTTGATAAATGCATTGGCACTGTTTTCACGGTATAGGTAAAGTAAGCCGCAGAGTTTCCATTTTTTTTTCTACTCAATTTATCTCTGTTATTTTGTGAAGTTTTTCTTTCGCGGCAAAATCCGTGTGGTTTGTCGACGCAGAAAAGTAGAAATCCGGTGCTCATCTCGCCACCTTTGAAGATTTGTGTGGGTATTCGTTGAGCCGAACAACGCAGCCCAACAAAGTGCAACCGGATAAAGCAAATGAAAACGAATATTAAATGAAGTATAATCATAGCGGGCGGACCTGAAACAAGCATTAAAACTCTCTGGTCTTTGTATGAAATTTTCCTCGTTACTTGTTTATGGGCTAGAATTCATGAAGTTTATTTAAAGGCCACACGTTCTCCAACATTTATTTGGAAATTACTTCATTTTCTCACAGACACATAGAACTAACGATAAAGTCCTCCCAAGGTTGAATATGAAATGGAGGAGGTTAAAGAAGCGGAGCGATCAATCTTTTTACTCGCGCGTGTGATGCCTGTACCCTTAGCGTTTTCTGTCGACGACAACTTGACAGTCTACCCTTCTCTTATCTGTGGAATAGGAAATTCCACCGTGGTAAAATTTCGATTCAGTTGAAGTAAATCGTTGGACATCATTTAAATGCCATAAGCAAAAACTTAATGTACCTTTAAAAGTGGCACGAAAATGTGCATCGCGCGTAACGTTAACCAACGAATCCTCCAAATCAATTTTTCCGTTATAACGCTAAATCTGAGAGGGGCTGAATTACTTTTATCATTATTTCATTTTCCGTGTCTCTCCCCAGGGATGATACGAACTCAGGTCGCGTTGTTTTGCGTGTTGCATCTGTTAGTGACCGAGATACGATACTGATATTTATCATGGGCATACGATGGGAGGGAAGGTCCAGGGGGGGCCCGGCCTGGCCCCCCGAAAATTGAAAATAATATCATCTGCCCTCCCCCCACCCCCTCAGAAATTTTGGACGGTGGGAAAAAACTTTTGTCGAAGATGATCTCTTAATGTAGAGTCTTAAATGAAAACACCATGTTCATTCAGTCAGTAGTTTCTTAAATGTTCATCGCGTAAGCATCAAAATACGTCCAAATAGAGTTAAAATTTCAAAAAATTTCCGAATCTATTACATGCTTCAAGAGTTTAAAGCTACATTCAAAGCTGAACAACATCGTTTTGATGAAGATCTCTTCCTCCTGAAAATATATTCGCGAGAGAATTTAACGACACCTTTTACGGGCGGCGTTAGACGCTGTCACATGCAAAATCAATCTGTCGCATTATTGCAAAAATAGACCGATTATTGAGTCTTACCTGTTGCTGGTTGGCGCGTTGAGTTATGAGGCGTGCTTCAACACACTGCCGCGTCTCGAGAAACGCTTTCCGCTTTGCTGTTTCACTCGGGTAGTGTGTCATGACTCCAGCAACATTCGTACTGATGAAAATGACAGCTGCGCATACAAACTGTAAAAATACGTAATTAGATCTTAAGGATCAGAAACGTTTGAAAAGGATCAGAGATGTATGTTAACGTAATTAGATCTTAAGGATCAGAAACGTTTGAAAAGGAAGAGAGATGTATCTTAGTGTAAAAATAATGTCAGGTCGAAATAGATATGGAATTTACATGCAACGAAAAATTAAATAAGACGGTGTTAATGAAAAGAGAATTCAAGGTGAGGGGGAAAAATTGACTTCGCTGTGTTTTGCTGTTCATAAAAGACGGGTTTTCATCGTCGACCTTAAAGAATATTCGAAAATTTAAAAAAAAAAAAGTCATACCATTTTTTTCAAATTTCTACTATTTTCACGATGAAAGATACACTTTTATCAAATTTCCACCACATTCAACGGTGGAAAATGCAAAAAACCAATTCTGATGGCCAGCTAATAATAACTGGTTAAAATATAATCTTATCTTAAAGTCCCTTTCTCCCTAACCCCACTTTACCATCAACGATATTAATGAAGAGATTTTAATCAATTCCATGAAATAAATGCTAAACAATTGAAGAATGATTTAATAATGGGTAACTTTAAATTCAGCACATTTTTAAAAATATTGAGGGTAGAAAGTTTAGGCTGTATTAATTATATCGCTTACGCAGCTCATTATCAAGGTTTGATAAGATTTATGCGCCCCTCCTCAAAATTGATGGGCTTGAACATAAACTGAAATACCAATTGGACTATGCGATAATTCACTTCACATTGATATCAAGATTTCTTAAGAAAACTTAGGCCTCTTAATTTAATTTAAGATCGCAAAAATACGAATACAAACAGGCATGGCATATAAATCATGGGCTCGCTAAATATTCCAACTTTCTCGAGCATATACAGTTGCAGGGCTTTCATGGCTCTATTTTAAGAGCGTCTTTCTCCAATTAGGAATAACTCCTTCAAGAGCTGTGAATTCCAAGTAAACTTCATCAAATTGCGATTCGCGTCGAGAATCCTGGAGCTATATTCCAGGTACGTCGATACTTCCGGCGAAGTTCGCTAACTGAGGAAATTAAGTAATACTTTTCAATTATAGTGTTAAGTCATTCTCATTGAGCATTCCTAACGATGTTGTCAACATCTTTTTCTACAATTAATATTCTCTCTGAAGCTTCCGCTTCTCGGAGACCGCACAGGGTAGAGAGCTGAGTTTAACGACAAAGAGTCCCGGGGTCAACAAATGCCAGTTGCGGCAAGGCAATTAGAATTTTGAATATGATGTCATATTCTGCATAAAATTTAATTAATAAACAGGGTTAAATTTTTGGTGCGAGTAATATTTTAAATCCATTTTAAAGAAGAAATCTGAGGAAAAAATTCAGTTACAAGTTTATTATACTGCCAGATTTAAAATTTTCAAAATCAATAAAACAAAATTCAGTGAGCCTTTCAAGATAAATTTATGTTTTCCAGTGAATACTTATAGCAGTAGATATAATACGAAAATAAAAATTGAGATTCCATATCGATTTCAGCTACAACATTGCTATTACGTGCCTTTACTATTACGGAAAACACATGCGGTTTCTCTCAGGCTGAAAGCATAGTTTTTGCACCGTTCTCTATCAAATCATTGAATATTGCTGAATGACGAGAAAACGTTAGATCACTACTTTCGAGTGTCGATAGGTCAAAGACAAGAGGAAAATACTCGAATTTTGAGCCGTCTTACCTGTTTTTGTAAGCTATGACCACCCTCTTTAAAATACGTTGAGAAGAAGAGATGGAAGATTGAGAGTATAGCTCCCATGAAGAGAGCCTGAGGCAGTGTGAAAGGTAGGAGACAGTACAAAAGGTAAACAAACAAAATGGCCGCCGTGAGTCCATCGGCAGTGGAGGCAAGCAGCAGAAGGCCTGCTTCGAGAGCAACGAAAGATCCGAATATTATCAGAGACAGAGTCAGTAACTGGATTTCGTTCAAAGCCGGCCGTGATAATGTAATGATTAAACCTGAAAACGAATGAACAAGAATGAGAGGAATAGGATTATCTCCTCAAACGCCGATGTCATCGGTGCAAAAGCGAGGTGCTACCTGATGAGAATAAAAACTGCATGCATGCGCTTTTCCGTTGGAACAAAATTGGTGATCGTCATTAGAGCTGATTCCATAATTGAATTTACTTTAAGTTTTCCGACGACATTGAATGAACATTGAACAATTAAATTATGCAATCCTGAAAAATCCAGGGGTCGGTTTTTTTAAGAAGGAAACTATGATTTTGATCGAAGATAGAGTTTTCTTTTCCCCAAATTTAATCAAATTTTTGTAACTCGGTCAAACTTAAACGCATTGTTAGTTACATACGCATCCCAATTGGCTGTAGGCAGGTCCGGGTTGACTTGGCGAATTTGGAATAGTCAGTTCACATAACAACGTTTCTTACCGCTATTTTTAGGTGATTTGTATTTTGCAACGCTTTTCCTCTCGTGGGCGGGCAAATTTTACTAGAAAATTTTCTGAACTGGACTAAATTTTGCAGTAAGGAGGGACTAATTAAGGCTTACCCACGAAAGTACGTAAGTGCGTGAGGAAGCCAACGGCACATACGTCGTTTTTTAAATGAAGCTAATACCATAGTTCCCTATCGCAGAGTGTAGTCCAGTTTTGCTTTTGATGACCATTTATCGTCATGTGGCTATTAATGTGATAACAACTCGTCGCCCTCCTGACATAAGGGCATAACTACACCGCCGTGCTAAGGAAAAACGCCGTTTGAACCTTCAGGCGTTGCCAAATTTCCTTTGATAAAACAAAAATTTCTTGGTGAACTTAAGAATACTTTTCTTCGAATTCTTCAGGTAATTTTGTTCGGAATTTCACCTAGGACTCCTGAAAATTTCAAAGAAAAATATTCAAAACTTGCCTCAGAAATAAACATTTGGTCTAAGGAAATTTGGCAACTCTCGAATGTTCATACGGCGTTTTTCCGTGGCTCGGTAGTACACTTCGCAATGAACCCTGTCGTCCAAATAAGTCAATGCTTTTCCGGGCTCATCTCAAATTGTAGTTACGCCCTTTTGCCAGCCAAGCGACGAATTTTTCTCGTGGTAACCACTCTTAACGTTAGAAAATGATGCTTTTTTTAGGAGCTGGAGTTTAATACACTGGAATAAAAAGTCGCTTGGATCTAGAGTCTAGACTCTTAAACACATTGACAAGATAAAGTACTCTTGATTCAATCGGATTTTTGCTTACATCAAGAACCAGGTCTCTTGATTTAAGTGGATTTCCTTTTGATTCAAGCAAAAATCCGATTGAATTAAGAGTATTTTTTCTTGTCAATGTTTTCAAGAGTCTGGACTCTAGATCCAAGCTACTTTTTTTTACCAGTGTATGCAATTTAAAAAATGCAGCATGGCAACAGGCCAATGTCTCTGTATGTTGTGTCGGTGATGCGCGTAGGTTAACAGAAAAGTCTAACCGCTTCGTATTTTCGCCTTCAAAACTGTATGATGCAAAAAGACAACCACTGAGCCGGAATAATTACGCCTTTCGCGCTGCTCACTCTGTAATTTCACGCCAAATACGGCTTGGCAAATGAAGTTTCACCGTCGACTGTTTGACGGAATAATCTTTAGCGGGGAGTCAAGTTTACTAAAAATGAATACCGATTTGTGCCATGAAAAACGAAGCGGTAAGTTTCATGCTACTTGAGATATTCTGAATACATGCCAGACGACCAAAAACTTTGGATTTTTTTCAACCTAATCTTATTGCAAACATCATTGTTAAGACAGCATGAAACGCCTCTTCAATTTAACTTGGACTATTTTTACTGATCCACCCTCTCGGATAAAAATTAGTAAGTTAAAAGTTTTCGAGGTTGCATTCAGATCTCGACCACCAAAATTATACAAGTTCTGATTCGAAAAAACGGGTGTATAGAAAAATTCAACTCATGTCCGTTTAATTCAAACCCCTTTTTTTCATTTTTTTTAGTTTTCACACCCAACGGACAATTATTTACTTTCATCATTGAGCCAATGGTGGAACCATAATATTTGTGAATTATATTTCGTCAATAAGGGAAAAATATTGGACTAAGTTTTCCAGTAATAAACTACTGTTTCTGACTCATTTCAGAAACAGCGTAAGTGCAACTACTTTCCCTTAGTAGACAGGTGCTTTTATGGATGAGCCAGAAAAAATATTAACTCGCTGCAAAATTCGGTCCAATTAGAGTGAGGTGTATTTCTCCTGAGTCGTTCAAATCAGGATTTACTCCCAAATATGGCAAGACTTGCCAATTATAAGTATCTTAGAAAGGGATATCGGGGGAAAAAATCAGTGCTCATCAAATTCGCGAACGTTTGATCATTATTCAACTGAAAAAATGCTGCATTTTAGCGTGGTTGGTTTTAATTCACTGTTTTTTTTCTCTTTCGCAAAGAACTGCAGAAATTACATTTAGATGACCGCCAGTTCATAGGGAAAAGACAGAGAGAGAAGAAAAAAGGAGTCCCTTCATTCTAGAATTGAAAAGATAATTCTTTCAATTATCGTCTCCTTTGAACCTATTTTCAGGACTGCCCTACCTACCCCATGGAGATGGAATACTATCAACTTTACATTGATTCTTACAATGCCGCGAGGTTTACAACGAAAGGGAAGTTTGCAGCATTCTTAAAGCGACGGGGAAAAAAAGAGTTCGGAAATTGAAACGCTTTTCTACTTGAGATTGATTCTTAATTTACGATTCTTCTTCGATATTTCTTTCAAGTCTATCAATGATGATAAGAATTTTCAAAGCATGCACTACTGTATTTTTCTTTTAGATATTGTAGAAACGTTCCATAACGTTCCTAATATGGAAAAGGAGGGCTTGATTGTAGTCTTTTTTGGCTTTTTCCATCCATGACGGAAGACTTTTTTCGCTTTTTGTAGGACTACATTCAACTAATTTCCGTTTGTTGAGCAGTTGTATATGGACTAAGAAAAGTTACTTGGTTCATGAGAATACATCGCATCGATGATAAAGGCCTCAGCACGTAGGTAACTTTTTGGAGCGTACCTTGTTACTACTGATTTGGTAGAACATTACTTATAATCCAGGAAAGATAATCTGGGTAATGCAACTCAAAAAAAAATATTGTGTGCCCCCTATCTGGAACAATCCTGTGAAAATTAGCATTATATCCGTAAAATTATCACACTGATGGATCTGCCTACAAAACTACACAAAAAAGTATATTCGAAGGTTCCGCTTACAGAATCTACTGATAAAAAAATAAATCGAGCGAAATTGAGATACTTACTGGTGTATATGATGACGCAAATAACTAAAATGAAGCCCAGGCACAGATCTGACGTTGATTGAAATAAAATTCCTATTGTAATTTGACTAACTCCGAGGGTTAAGCATAGAAAAAATAATAATCCTAAAAGATGGGTCATGTGTCGCTGGTTTGTCCTTAAAAAATACCTTTGATACAACATTTCCACCTGCAAATTTAAATAAAATCAAGTTATTAAAAATGTATCAAATCCAAAATGCGCTTTAATCACAAATAACATTAAGCTCCGCAACATTTTTAGAGGAAAAATAAAAAAACCAATATGCAAAGTAATCCGCCGATGTTTCATGATTCAATCTTTTTAAAAGAGCTACCTAATTTAAAAGATAAAGAGAGGATAGGTGGCATCCAAAAATAGATTCAAAATGCCAGCTTCCGGGAAATCTTAATCTTGACAGATTTCAGCGGTTGGGTGTTGCAGTGCGCCGTGCCCCCTGGTACACCGCAAAGGCGACTAAAAATCTTATTTTTGACAACTGGCACTGCAGTGGTCCTTTAACACATTGTACAACGTGATTTGATGAAACAGGAATGAAATGAACTTAAAAGTTATGGTGCACAAAGAATTAGGTTTAAAGTTCATAGGAATAATAACCGAACTTGGGCACTCGTAATTTTTTGTCTGTGCAGAAAATGGTGACAGGTGGAAATGTCCAATACAAAATGTCCACCATAAAATGCCCAAACATTGTTTGCCCAACACACAATGTCCACAAAGTGCAATGCGCAATAAAAAAGCCAATATCTTAATTGTCTTACTTAAAAAAATTCCAAAAAAGTAAAAAAAAATACCAAATAATATCAAATAATTGTGTGAATTAACTCAATAAAAAAATTTGAAAACTCAGTAGTTGGAGGTCCCAAATTCGCACTTCCTTTAAACGAAATGGACGCGTCTTCTTTTGGAACATATTCCTTGTAGGGCATTTTTCAGTCAAGACATTAATTTCTTTTGGACTTTTTTAGGCATGGACATTTTTTTGGTCATTCTTGTAAGTGGACATTTTAAGTAGGGCGTTATTCTTATTTTACATTTTCCGCTGGATATTTCCACTGAGCACCCAGAAAATAATCCGAATCCTTTCCAAACCTGATAGCATTTTACGAGTCGGTTTCCCCGCGTCTCATATAGGCGTTAAGATGCTGGTAAGAATTTTTTTAAGATCTTCAAAACCAAATCTTTCCTCCATATTTTAATATTAGATCATACTATCGTATTGACCAATTTGAAGTATACTTCGTTGTCACTAAGCTGGGAAGACTCGAAAGTCCGAACGGGCAACCGTGGGAAGCATAAGTTGCTTATTAGGTCAGAGGAGATAAGAGACATAATCCACTTACATGTGACAAACCTCTTCCACTTAGCGGCTTGTGCGTAACTTAAGAGCTCAAAGGGACCAGTAATCCCACTACCTAAGAGTCTTGACGTGTCTCATTACCGACCATAGACGCTAATTTGAATACAGAAGTAAGCTACACATCAAATAGATGTTTAAACGTACACTTTAATGCTAAGTGTGAGGATTTGTATACGAGACGCCACTGTAACCAATTAAGGCCTAACTCAACAATCGCTCTTAATGATTATTCCAAAGATGCTGTTGTAAGAAGAATAAGCTTTCAAATTAGGGTCGCAGTATCATAATTTAATATGACACTCTAGACCCGAAGTCTAAGCTGTCAGTTAACCTCATACCGGCCTTTTCAATTAGTGTTAACGGCCAACAGAAATCTCTTGATACTCTTAAAACTCGAACTTAGTCCGCGGCTGATTATTTACAATAAAATTATACATACATATGTTATAGCCAATGACCGAAATCAGCCGATGTTGAACATTGGCTGATTTCGGTCATTGGCTATAACATATTGACGGTGTAAGTCGGCAACCAAATATCTCGTTTGTGGTGTTTGAAAATCTCCGCCTATGTGTTATTTTTTTAAAGGAGAAGAAATTGACACCATTCCTCGAAGTTTTTGCAGAATTTTCTTCGCACAAAGAAGAAAAATCACGGCAGTTTTAAAGAATTGCCATTGATTAGTTTTCCGTTTAAAAAATAAAGTATGACAGGGAGTCTGCGACGTTGCAAACCGAGCTATGAGATTGACGACTTACACCGTCGATATATACATATTTTAAAACACGGAAGAAATATGATAATATCAACTACATCCACAGCTGATTTTGGGACCAGCCAGAAGTCGTTGAGAAAAAAAGTTTGGTCTTATGAACCGTAAGCATACGGTATTCCATATCGGTCGTACTGATCGGTTCATGAAACTGAGCTTTCAAACCAAACCGAACCATAAAAAAAGCTCACCGTACCTATACGATTCATACGACCGAACTTTCTTCCTCAGTTTGTGGCCGCACCGCCGCACCAATCAGAGTCAGGGTTGAGTCAGGAATGTGGTTGCATCAACCAATTTCTGACTTACTCAACCATACCTTTGACTGGTCCAACCATATTTCTAGCGATCGAAAGGATAGAGCACGTAACATGGCTACGACGTCGTTTTGTCAACTTTGTGCTTGAGAGAATGCAACTTTATAACAAAAGGCGTCACGAAGTGCAAGCAGTGGCGTGGCGTGCTTTGCTATGTATAGTTTGATCGGCAATTTAAACCTATAGAAAAGTATCGATAAACAGGGTATTCGCAGCGAACACCATAATAATCGATTATTTACCACAGCTTCAAATGGGGAAATATCGATAGATCGCAAAGCACGCCACGCGCCACTGAGTGCAAGAGTAATCTACCAGAGCAGCTTTTTGCGATCGACCTTTTCTTTATTTATACCCTTGATTTAGCACCTCTGCTGGATATAGGTCAAGGATTCTTGTCTTGATATGAATTATGGGGANGGGGGGGGGGGGGGGACGCGCATAACCGCACCCGTCTCATTCACGCTTGCGAGGCGTACGCCAAACACCGAATTATATTGACAGGCCAGCGTCTGGAAATTCGATTCCGGGAATTCGTATTTTCCGCGCATTTGAGGCGGTTGCCGGGGCAACGGCTCCATTCTATTATAGGCGCACGATTTTCGCATTACCGTGAGCCCCGCGTGATTGAGAATAAATAAGTTGTAGTTTTATCGCGACGTTTTTACGATGGAATTATAACCTTTCTTCGACAGCTCACACGCTCCAAATCAAGTGGTGTTTTCTTCGTGAGTGGCACGACTGTTTCCGAAAAGAATAATGGAGAGGAATGATTATGTTTATATTATTTTTAAAAACCATTTTTATGTACGGAGGATAACGGACTTACAAGTCGAGGTGGAGTTTATTTTTTTTTTTTTTTTATTGGTATTTTAACAACAATCTACAATATATGTATTCAGTTGACTTTGGATAGGACGCCTCACAATATGATCACTGGCATATTAAAACGGGTGGGAGGAACTTAGCATTCTAAATTCTCCAGCAGATAGCGCTAGCGGTGGTTCACGAATGAAAAGCCATGACAATTGATTTGTGTAAATCTTGTAAACAAGGAACATCATGAAGTTGTGAATTAAAATAAACAATGCTGGTACGGAGGATATATTGTGGCCTACGTCAGACATTGCAGGCAAAATATCGATGTGCATATCCTCAATTGGACTGCATTTTGCAATTTGGAGCTATAAATTCCAACTCATCTGAAAAAACACTTATGTGCATAGGGAAACTAATTGCACATACATTGTTTTTAAACCAGGCCGAAATTTATAAGTTCTTAATTGTAAAATTTAGTCCAATTATTCCCCCCTCAAGTTAAATCTGCTTCCTCTTGTTTTTTTAGTAACACCCTGCCTTATTTAATATCCATGTATATACGAAGAAAAACTGTGTTTATTTAAAATTATAGAACTTCATTTTAAACTTGTATTCAAAACAGCTTTTATTCAAAATATTACTGTATATTCTTTCCTCGTTTCTCTTTAAATACAGTAAGAAAAGAATAATTTTTGGAAAATAATCGCGATCAATTCGAGTTTTTTTCAGTATCGACATGTCTCGCGAGGATTTTGTTTTTAAGTATCGGTCTATTTTAAGTATGCGGCTACAGGCAAAAGTAAATTATATTCGAAAATTTGCAACAAGCAGTTCTCCCGGGAGGTTTAATGATAATACGTGGATTAGAAGTAGCCATATTCTGCGAAACCAGCCGAGACAGAATAATAAATTGAAATCGGTCCAATTCTCTGAAGATTCAATAATTTAAATATTAAACCACCGCTTATTGTTCGAGCGCTGTAATGAAAGTAATTAATTTTTCAGAGACTCCGGCACAAATCACAACGAATTTATACGGTGAATATTTCCGCTCGGCCGGTATTGGTTGACTCCAGAATAGTGGATGTGGAATTTTGAACGAGAGTGTACATTTTATAAATTATTTGGGAAGCTTTTAAAATTAATAGATTCATAACTTTACTTCTCTCCATGGCCATTAAGAAGTATTCTATTACAACATTCATTATATGAAACCCTCGAATTACATGCTCTTGAGATACATGTTCTAGGGCATACATGCAGTTGTGATTGAATTCGCCACCAGCTGTTGCATTGTTACCCTTTAATAAATATCAAATTTATAGTATTTTATAGTATTCTTATATTCTCAATTTATATTATTCTTAATTACGATGCTGCCAGAGAAGAAGATATTATTCTATTCAAAACAGTATGCGAGGCGCTTGGAGTAAAGTAACAAAGTTTCCTCACAAGGGAACGTTGATCCTTGTCTCATCGTCACCAAAAAACGATCGCCTTACGTGTTCAACAACTTTCAGTAATGGACCCTTTTTTTCACGGTCATTGAGCAAAAAAGGAAAATCTCAATTGAGAAAAATTTTACCACTTTCTTCATGATTTAGGTTTCTAAAAGCCACCAATTATCAGATAGAAACAAAATACAAAACTACTTTTTAAATAAACAAATAAAATTGAAATTGCATTGGACTTTTGCAGAAATGCAAAGGAAGAAGAAAGAAAGGTGAACGGACCTGATTGTATTTCAAACCATCATCAAACCACAAAAAATATTACTATTTTAGTTATTATTTTTGTTAAGACTTTATCTTGAAAATGGTGCATTGTCACCGAGACGAATTTCTAATAAACGAAGAGGATAAAGTTCAAACGTCATGCTAAGGGACATGTGACCTCCAAGAAATAAAATCCCAAAAACATTGAAAGCTCGGGCTGGCTGGTGTGATATTGAGCTCTTGAAAGGAAATTTGGCATATTTCATCGAAATAAAAGAAAGGAAAAAGAAGAGAAAAAACAAGTGGAAAAGCATGAAGATACCATCATTTAAAATTTAACCAATCAAAAGCATTGCCAATTTGAATTAAAAACAAACACACAATATTTCTCGATTTGGGATCTGACATTCCAGTAATATTCAATGAAATTAGGCAAAAGTAGAAGTACTGAAACGCATAAAAAAGTTTCAACAAAAGCTCTGTTTCTCGCACCAAAGCTTTCCTGACAAGCACGGAGGCGGCTCAGATATACTTGACGAGCCAACCAACGCTGAGGCCCTTTGTGTACCTTTGCGTTGAGCTTTATTCCTCTCCCAAAAACTTCATTATAAATGAGCCTGAAATACCCACCTGAACTTGGTCCATTTTCGGAGGCGCGAACGTTGAAGTTGACAAATTCTTCCTGAATGAATACGATACTTATATTTCTGGCAGGGAAATATACGCAAGTCTTCCAATGGACCCAAATCGGTAACGTTCACAACGGCCATACTAAATTTTAGGCTCATAATTATTGAATTTTTAGTTGAAAAAAGTTTAAAACTGAAAATCTTGAAGTAAATGGGGGAATTGGTTTTCGAGTGTTGATTTTAAAGTTTGACATCAATGCATTTAAAACTCCTCTCACCTTGTGCCTGTTTTTGATATGTTGATTGGCGTTGATTACACAACGTTCCATTTGAATTAATTCATCTGTTTTGCGAAATATTTGCGCACAATATGTACGTGTTATTAGTTTCCTTTTTGCACCCTTCCTCTGCATTATTGTGTTGCGTCCGTGTTTGACGGAGAGTTCATAAAATGGGAAACGTGCCAGAAAATACTTCACATTTTACTCACTTAGAATTGCCTGATCGCATCTAAATGAGAGATGCAGGTTCTAGATGATTAATGTAACGTGTTTGTAATGTTGTAATGTAATGTATAATGTTATTGTGACGGTAATAACCATTCGTGAGAGAGAAAGAAGAATATATTTAATAATATTTAAGCGCTGTACTAATAAAACAGCGCTTAAATATCAATCATTTAAGACAAGTTTGTCATTTAGAAAATAACTAAAAGTGAGTTCTTCAAAATTCCTTCCTTATCTCATAATACACAATACCTTGAAATTTGTATGAAAAATTCACACCGAGAAAAGTATTTCGCTAAAAAAAAAAAAGGAAAAAAACGCGTATAAATTAGTTTAATGCCCAGTTTGATTCGATTTTCTGACAGCGAAAGTTTGAATTTGAGGAAGTGAAAATCACTTCTTTGTCATCGACGGCTGATCTCCACGTTCAAACTGAGGGCTTCAAAGGCGCTCACTTCCAGCTCTCTTAATGACCAACGATGCAAGTTGGGATAATCAATGAGCCTCTTTGAAGTTTTAAGTTTGATGGAACACGAGATCCTTCCTGAAGTTTAGGAATTTTCCAAAATTACCACTCTGATAAAATGAAAATGTAATGAGAGCTTCGAAACTATCATGAATAATAATCAAGGCATAGCGTTGCCGGACTTCGACACGGTCAGTTTCTGTCTATTTCAGCCGAAAGTCAGATTTCAGAATAAGTGATTTTCCCGGCAAGACAAAATTTCGATCTATTTTACGAACTGGAAACAGTACTTTGATGAATATCGGCCGATACCTTCAATTATCTCAGGTGATAAAGACCGACGTTCTTTCCTTCAACCCTGGGCACACGTTCAAAAAGAAGCTCCAAAGAGGTATTTAGACAAGTGCTCCCGTCGATTACCTCCAAAGGATGGCTGTCCCCTGCGACATCGATGCGCAACACTTGACTAAACAGCCATCTTTTATGAGCTTTATATCAAGAGTGGCGGTAGCCACCCCCGGTCGAGTACTTTGCACGTGTGTCCAGGACATTAACAGGACAGCATGTTCAGCGTGCATTTTAATGAGAAAACTTATTAAAATGATTAGTTTCATGAGTGGATCGCATTTAGCAAAAAGGAACCAGCGCGAATACGCGGTGTTCTCAAAAGCGTGCGACTTCTCCTACTCTTTTAAAAATACCTAATATACAGGATTATTCAAAAGTCACGCACCACCAGCCATGAGGGGAACTGCCATTTGAAATTTTTGAGTTGCCCCCCGCCCCCTCCCCCCGAGGGGATCAAAAACTGGAAAGTACCTAAAAACGTTTCCCCCCTCGATATGAGGGAAAACAACTTAAACCGCAAATCGATATCAAAATTAGAATTAAAGTCACGGCCAGTGGTGCGTGACTTTTGAAAAACCCTGTATGTACAAAATTAAAACTTGCACAATTATTTTCCTTTAAAACATTTTTTTTTTTTTTTTTTTTTTGTTGGAGAGCCGAATTTATTTGCTACTTTGAGTGATTTCTTATAGATGATTATGAAAAATTAATATTTTCACAAGACTAGTGATGCGTTCAAAATTCATCAAATTATTCAACGTCCAAGATCACATGGAGAAGAAGAGAGTGGAAATATCGGCCGAGAATTAAGAACCGATTCCAGTTACGTTGTCAAAGTGTTGAGTTGCTCAAAATTTAATTTTGTAGTTCCAACAACTGGAATCGCGCTGGCTCATTTTGCCTAAATGCGATCCAAGTGCAGCTGGTGGCGCATTAGGTGAATACTGAAGAGAGACGGTATAGTCGTACTTACTTGTAAATTTTTGAATCCCTGAGACATGGAGAGCCTGTTGCGGAGCTTCCGCCAGAAAGAGTCTCGGTGGAGGAGCACCGATTTGGCGCGGCCGTTCTTCGTGTTGATGAGCAACGAGTCCTGCGGCCCTGCCCCGTTCGCCTCGTTCGGCGAATCTGTCTCCGTGTTCGTTTCGTCCCGCGAACAACTTCCATCGCGACTCTAAACCAGCGTAAACAAGACGAGAATCATGAGAAAAAGGTTGAACATAAGAGAGTTTAATAGCTGGGCCGGGTATAATGGAAAGGAACCAAGCCGCGTCAACTGTTCCCAAATTTACTCGCACAGTAATTTTTTACACGAAAACGGAAGTGTGGATTTTTGTGCAAATTGCAGTGAACTTTCTGCCTAGTACGAAAAAAATTGCTTAAAATTTTCAAAGAAATCTGCACGAACGTTCTCTTGTAAAAAAATAAATTGCCCAGTTAAATATGGCAATAGCTGATGTGGCATGGTTCCTCTCTGCTAAACGCGGAATAGCTTTCTCCGAGGAATATCTATGAAATTTCGGTGTGAACAAAAAAAATAAATTCTGGAATTTGTTTTTAAAAATTAACATCCTAATAAAATACTGATCTAGAAATCATTCAAATCAAGTAGATTTCTATCATAGCACTATACATGTATATCATGCAGGGAAGAATAGAAATGCTCAACATTAAAAATGTAACTATATCTTATTTTCATCAGGCTATCTATTCTTTAAAAAGCCCGTAAAAAGTAGGGAGAAAAAAGGAAGGAAGAAAGTAGTAGGACACTAATATTTGGTAATTATTCATTAAGAAATTGAGTCAAACTGTATAATTATGTAAAAAGTGCTTTAAAATTTCAAACATTTTTTAAAAGAAAGTCCACGGACCCTTCTCTCTCCTTCGGAAGTGTCTGGATCCGCCTTTGCGGGATACTCTGTCAAGGGATCGACCTAGACTTTTACGTGTGTTTCAATCTATTATATTGTCATTCATTAAAGATAACTAAAAAGGAGGGGAATGCTAGATTTCCCAGCTCAGTTCGATTAAAAAAAGTAATGCATTGAACTTTTTATCTTGACATATTACTTACCACTAATAAACTAGAATTTTGCGCAGAGCGCAGGTTGGGATGAGGGTTTTGTTTAAAATGTTCGATGACCTCCCAGTTGGTTTTGCGCTCCTGCACATCCAAAGGCATCGTTTCCAGCACGGCCGATGCTCGCCTCAAGCTGTCGGCTCTGCGGAGCCAGCTCGATTGACTCTTAAACTTCTGGCAAAAAGATCAGAAAATCTACAAGGAACCGCTTTAAGCTAAACCTTTATAATTGTAAAAATTGGAAACATTAATTATACTCATAGGCCTAAATGACACTTTGCTAACTTTTAGTGGTTATATTATTATGTAGAGTATCATCACTCTTGAAAAACTATGTCTTTCAGAATTGTATATGGTCTAACAATTAGCGTCGGAAAAAATTGAGTAATTATTGCTAGTAAAACTCGATTTTGTAAGAGGTGCGTTTCCGTTATATAAATACCGATGATTTTTTTTTTTGAAGTTTCATTTGTTCATTTTGAGTATTTTTCGATTGCAAAGGAGTCGTGACTCGAAGAGACAGCCATTTGCTTCGTAGCAAATATTCGAAATCAAACCGCTATACTTTCCACAGTGGATAACTCTTAAGCACGCAAAAAAATAGCCCGCAAAATACGAATACAATAAAAAGATATTGAAATATCGATAGAGCACAAAAGAGAAATTCACGAGCCACCGCCCGCCTGCGGCGCACTATGGTCCAAAATTCAAGAATAGAAAGAAATAAATCGGATAATGACTGAAAGATCATGAGAGTATCGTTACTGACGTTTATGGACTCGCTAATTTCGAATTTGATGTCAAATTGCCAGGATCTCAACACCCTGACCTATTAATTGTGGGCAAGTTTATGGCACACTACGGCGCGGCGCGGCGCGGCGTGCTGCCAGCTTCAAATGCACATTGGCGCCTACAAACCTAAGGGGATAGTTCAAGCATTGCGCAATGCGTGAAGTTGGCGCCTACAAACCTAAGTGGATACTTCAAGCACTACGCAATGCGTGAAGTTGGCGCCTACAAACCTGAGGGGATACTTCAAGCATTACGCAATGTGTAGAGTAGCACGGTAGGTTTGTAGGCGTCAGTGCGCCTTTCGCGTTACCAGCACGCCGCGCGCCGAGGCGCTCCCGTAATAAGCTCGTATCATTTTTTTTTTTAATTTTCGACTTTTAAAATTACACACTGGACGTGTGAAGTAATTAGTGAACTAGGCGTTATAATATGGGTGGATAGGGCTTGAAAAATTTAAGACACAAAAAAGGCAGAACGTTTTGAGCCGTACCGTTTCATTTTCATCTGCAAAAACGAAGAAATGGATTAAAATAATTGAGTGCAGTCGTTGACGTCCAGACACGTGGTGACGTAATAACGTCGGGAGTCAGGTAGCCTTTATTTTTTTCTTTTTTATAGCTAAAAATGAGCCGGTAACAACTTTTGCTTTATTCGCGTTTTAAAATTTTGTTTAGCCTTGTTTACCCATGCTTTAAGCTCTGTCTGTTATGTATATTTTCTAGGTTTCCCCATTTTTGGAACCTTTCATTTTCCTAAACCCTCGTAGCAATCCTCAGTGGAATTTTTTTATCGGCATAAAAAGCGGAACTGTTTTTCTTTGTTTCTCCGACGATGAAATACGCCAGTAACAACGCTTTGCCAGTATTTTAAATTTGTTTTAGCCATGCTCACTCATGTTTTAATCCCTCTCTATTGTGTATTTTCCAGGTATTCACATTTTTGGAACCTTTCACTCTTTCCAAATCTTCGTAGCAATCCTAGGTGCTTTTTTTTTTTTTTTTTTTTTTTTTCATCATCAGCATAAAAAGCGTGTAGAAAATTGAATGAGATGTGTTATATTGTATTACATTGAGAAGACTGGAAGTTTGAGGAGACTTGAGAGGGTTGGTGGAGGTATTTTTGAGACGGTCCAAAACTTCCCAGTTGCTCCTGGGCTCCTGAGCGTCGAGAGGCACCTCCAGCACGACGGACGCGCGCCGCAGACTCTCGGCTCGTCGCAACCAACCGCCTTGAGTCCTCGCCTGCACCCACAACCAGGAACACAAAACCAATGACATTAGAAATTCATCTTTTATTCTTCTAAAAACACCTTCATCAATGCTCCCGTCAAAGCGTAAAGAGCCGTAAGTGCATAAAACAACGTTTTCACAAAATGGATCTTTGAATGGAAATTTTTTTTTATAATTTTTTTTTTTTTTTCAAGTAGAAAACTCATCAACACTGGAGTCCCTTTATAGACGCATTTAGTGTGACGTCACATCTCGACATAATTTCAATACCTCGAAAGTCGAAACGTGCCCAGAAAAACGAACGTAGAGAAATTCGCGGGATATAGGCAGGAGGGTGAGGGGATTCGCTTGATAACTATGTATGATGTTGTGAGCTTATTATACAATCAACTCTTGTGAATGTGATCTCAAACGTTTTGTTAAATGACTTGCTTTCATGATTTTAAAGTGCCATGTATTAATTGTTTGGTTGCAGGCTAGTTGTATAGCATTCTTTCGTCAACTGTTCATTTTGGAGGTAATGCTTGTTTTTTGGGGGCACGTTTCGACTTTCGAGGTATCGAGACTGTGCGAGAGAAATGCGTCTATGCTGAGAGTGAAGACAGTGCAAATCCACTTCTGATTGGTTCCCTATTTTAGGCCTTCAAAGTGTCACAAACGCGAAAAGAGATTATATTTGCATCGATTGCAAAGATTATAAACTGATGGAATAGATCGGAGAATTGGAGGTACGGCAAGAAACAAATGAAATGAGAGAGGGAACAGAGACAGACATTCGGGATTGGGTCGATCGAAGATTATAAAGAACGTTCGATTTGTGTAATCCTTATTCCCGTTTGTGACATCCATGGGCCACGTTGTCTCAACTCTCTCTAGAAAGGAACTCTACTCAACACTATTATATGAAGTTTCGTAGGCGTATTCTTGATAATCTAGAAGAAGATTTCACGTGCGAAGTTTTAAGGTATCATGTTACTTGGCCTCCTGTTTGAAATACTTAAACATGAGAAGGAAAGAGGTAAAGTGAAATGCAGTAAAGCTGACTCAAGATAAACCCAACCAGGTGCGCCTCGGCAAAGTTATTTCAAAATAAAGTCTCTATAAGATGAAAATTATATTTATACCAGAACGCGATCCATAACAAGTTTTTTTAGGGCATCTCGAAATTAAGGATACCCCTCCCACGTTTTTATTGATTTTTTTTTAAAACTTTTTTAATTACCCTCTCAGCCATTTATGGGAGGATACTTAGGAGATACACATGAAGAAAAAAGTGGTCACACGTGCATAATCAAGAAATGAGAGAGCGCCAGCTCTCTAAGCTCAGAAGGGCTTTAGAAGGATTGTCATGAGGCGCGTAAGCGTCGCAGACCGCCAGAGAGCACTGTAAAAACGGATTCTAAGTATGAGTAATCAACCTACTCATCCACTGGCAACCTCACATTATTTTCACGTGTCATCAAGTTAATACGAAAACATAAATTATCATTAAGTAAATAACACAATAATAGCGAGGAGGTGCAAAAAAAGAGGAAAAAACAAAACAAAAAAAACCTAAGCATGGTCACGGTAGATAACTTTCACAAAAATCCGCGATGAAACTGATCTGGAAGACTACTTGGACGTATTTTATACATATGCTAAAAGGAACTATGTTACACGTGAAACCTATGCACATAGTTCCTTTTGACATAGATACGTCCATTTGACCTGGATATTGGAACGACTTTACTCCTACCATAAGTTCACACGAAAAAACAGAATGATAATGATGCAAAATTCTGAAATAAACACGAGAAATCTCAGGAGTAGTGTATTAACACTCCTTTGTCGCAAAAAGTCACGGTTTCTCTAACGTCATGCAGTAGGGCAGTGTTTTATCATTTTCCTGATTTCATTCACCTTTTGAGTGTAGCTTAAAATCTAGAATTTCATCCTTTCAATTTTTTGACCACATTTGCATGATGCAAATTGCATCGTATATTCATAGCAAACATAAAAACTAAGGTTGAGTTGCGCTTGATTGACTCTTAAATTTAAACGAAGAGGAAAACATATTTACAATGATAATATATAGGTATATGGTGAATAGGCTCTAAGCAGAGCTTATTCAGACTACTGCTCAGTGATAACTGTAAAATGGAGTTCTTCAGGGGAAATTTTTTTTGGTGCCTGAGACCACATTACGGAACGGGATAACGGGGATTAGCCCGGTAGTTCCCGTCGGGCCGAAACGTGGTGAAAGAACAGGTCATGTAACCAAGTGGGTTTAAATTCATTAAATACTAAACTATGCCTTTCTTTACTTGATGACTTGTATTTTACACACCATAGAATGCAAATCCAGTGGAAATTCAAGAGAAACAATACTTTTGAGCGGTAGTTTGCTTAGAAATCTCCTTGTGAAAAAAGTAATAATTATTACGCTAGGACATTCGTAACTACATAAATAACTGCCGCCTAGGTATACGTTTAAAAGTCAAATCATGGCACTCACAGAAAACAAAGTAATAATTTACAAATTCCCTTCACAAATATTTGGTTAGATTTCTGGGATTATTGTAGTGATTAGTTTGTTGATACAGTTGACAGTTATCTTCCATTATACTTGCAGCTTCAACAGTATGATAATGACCTACCCAATATAATTTTAATTTTAGATAGATTTTTTATGTTTGAACAAAATACGATGGTTTCATTACTATGCACTAGGAAATATCCAACTTGTCCGAAAGAATGGATACATATTCAGAAGTGAGAATTTATAGCGCATGAATAATGTGTCTAAAATTGATTAAAGCGTGAAATGTTTCCGATACAAGCACAGAGAAAACAAATTTGAGCCCATAAAAGCCCATTCAAAGCAAACTATGCGATAATATAATTTTTAGCTACAGTGAAGGTACATTTTAATGATGACTCTTTGCTATACCTTTGTGGTACAACATTTTTACTTATAAGTTTTCGCAAAATTAAGGCGTGAATTTGGTATCTTAAAAGTTACTATTTTTCACAAAAATTAGCCAACTTGAAACAGGCGAAATTCTGAAAATGGGTCATGCAATGAGTCATGAGTTTGGAGATACCATTATTTTGACCATTAAACTTGTTGAAGAAATTAACACTGAAAGCTTAAAGCAAAGCATCATGCGATTTCTAAAAGAGGCAAAAAAGACTAAGGACATGGGTTGAGAAGAAATCACTACGTACATAGAAGAGGAAAAACTTATAAAAATTAGAACTGGGCATGTAACAAAAGGTGCTCTCATTTTATAAATACATTAAATACATACAAGACTGAACAAGAAATGTGTGCGAAAACAATGGACGATTTGTGAATAACTGAACTATGGATCTTCAAAAAGAAAGTAAATCAATATTTTTAAAACGTTCAAGGATACAGTTTCACACCTTTCAAGTTATCACTCACATTTTCCGGTTTCTTTGGATTGCGAAGACTGAGCCTCTTCCAGTCTTTTTTGAAGAGCGGAAAGTCTTGGCTCGTCATTTCGGGAAACTTAAGGCCTCATCCCAGTTAACCTTCAGATGAAAACATACCAATGAGGGCCCGAACACAGCAAGATAAAATATGACAATTTTGTAACGAACACACACTGAATGTCATTCTCTCTTAGACAACACCTATACATCGAAAATCTCTGATTTTTACATTTAACATTTATATCTCCTCCTACTATGACGATGATTTCATGCTGATAACGTTTTGCGAATAAAAACAGTCTCGGTCAGAATAAATCTGAATAGGAAATTTATATAAAAAATAGGTTAATTCAAGCTGCGTTGACGAAGTCTACTGAAACGAACTTTCAGCTGCCTTAAGTCTTCAAATTCATGTTTATGCTACAATTATGCAAATATAGTCATTTACAGGGTGTTTCAGTGTAAAACCGGCAGACTACAAGAGCGTGTTCAAATTTTATTTCATAGGTGCCCACGCAGCCTTTTTTTTTTTTTTTTTTTTTTTTTTTTTTTTAAGTAAGCCGTTGTTTTTCTGAATTTTGATGAAAGTTAGATACCTACTCATTTCTTTTCTTATTTTTTTTAGAATGTGAAAAATGCTTCAGCATTAGAAGAAAAATAATTAACTACGAACGAAGAAATTTTGAAGCAAAGGGTGTTAAAAATGGCTCATGAAAACCTCAAAGAGAAATGAAGATCTTTTGCACTTCATCCGGACAAGTAGGTTATTCCGCCATACATGTGTGCAGTGCATGATTTGAGTTTTACACCACGCTTTGCTCTTTTTCCACCTTCAAGGAAAAGTCTCTGGCAGAGGATTGCGGTGGATCAAGGAGCTAAGAAGATTTCACAGCACCTCTAAAAAACCTCCTTCACGCGGAGGATAGAAAATTATGCGATACCTCTGTCGCGCGAAAGGGTGTAATTTTACGGAAAATCCAAGCGCCTTTCCAAACGTCCAAAGCCTTTCAAAGTGGGGAGGATGGAAGGTTTCATTTTCATCTCTGAAACTCATCGGTGCAAGATGTAGACCCACGCTCGGAACTCATCTTGTTCTGAATAACTCATACCTGTAAAAGACCCTACAAGGGGGTGAAGGGGGTTCAAAATCTGTCTCGACCCCTCGTCAACGAAGGCGTCCTTACGCGCACCCGCCGCACGTGGATCGAATCAATCTAGAGGTTGGACAAAATTTGGAAACTTTAAAAGCTTAAAACTTCAATTATACAAAACTTTGAGGCTCTAAAAGTGGTTCTAATGGTTTCCTCGTGAAATTTTCTTATACAAACACCCCCTTGAATTTAAAATGTGACGAAATAAACATCAAAATGTGTAGTTTTAGTAAAAAAATCTCATGTCCGACTTCTCTGAGTGGCTTGATCCACTGTGCGCCGCGCCTTGTCGTTTTGACTCGACTCCACGACTTGTTGTTTGATGAAAGCGCGCCTCTGATTTTATTTCAGCACTCCGAAAAAAACGCAGAAAGAGCATCTCCCTCTTATAAATTATCATTCTCAAATTAAGGAGTAAAAAGCATTTCGAATGATAATGTGATAATACTTACAACTAAATGGAAGTATGAACGAAATGTTAGCTGGATTCATGGCTCCAACGGGATGAGATGAATCCATCTGCGAACAAACAAAACAAAGGAATTCAGTTGGAAACGTCGAAACGTATTTAGTGATTGCTGGTATTTTTTCGGAAATTTCGATTTTAGTTTATCGAAATCGAAAGGAAAAGCTTGAAAACTCAAATTCACAGTCCCTGAAAAATTACAGCAGTTTAATGCAGCTGTACTTACGAGTCTTGAGCCCTGCGTTCATCCCGAATCTTCATATACAAATAAGACTTAAAGAAATTTTTTGTGGAAAGATAAGAAGCACTCAGAGTAAATCATTGATGAGTGAAGAGTGTGATCAAGACACACACAAAACTGCACAGTAGGTGAAGAAGTTAGTCTAAGAAAAAGACTTTTGCTGCCGAAAGCCAAGTACTTATGGACACTTTTGAGGTCCAAGTTGGAAGAGATGCGCTACTTGCAATGACCTTTATGTAAATTAACTGTCTTTAATGGGAATCGAGCATTTTCGAGTTACCAAGTTGGTGTCTTCGTTCTCACTGATTCAATTAAGTCGGAGTATAATATAATCCAATCAGCTAAAATTACCCGTTCGATGGAGAAATGTCTGGCTTTTAATTAGAGTCAATTTCCTAGGCCCCAATGTTATGGACAGACGTGTGGAGCTTTCATTTTATCAGAAAAATAGCATTGAGTGAAATTAATGCAATTCTAGGTTATTTGTCTCTGCCCTTAAACGAATTTTCCGGAAAGGACATTTGAAAGAAGACTAAGTTCCACCGGTGCTTCATGAGCTGGAGTGGTAGACTTCTTGTTTTGTCAGATTGGACAGGTTAAGGAAGCGTGATGCACTCAGGAGTTAATGCATACCGCAAATCGTTACTCCTCTGACTTAATGGCACGGCGTGTCTAAATGTCCACATGATCCTCAGAGAGCAGGGATTCATATGTAACACAGGGCTCATTTGAATATTGAGATACGCCCAAATTTCAGAGAGGCAACGAAATATCTACTTTCCATTCACAAATTCAGGCGCATTGCCGTGGAAAAATGTACTGGCGCTACTCGTTCACGAACCACTGTTGACTAAATTCAGCACTAGTATTTAAAGACTTGAAGGTTTGAATAAATGTTTGGATTAACTTCAAAAAATATTTTCCTACGAATCGAATCGGTTATATTTTTTCAGCGGACACAATTTCGAAAAAGCCCGGTCGATAACAGAATCTATTGGTTGGAAAGAGATCCATCAAGAAAGAAGAAACTGCCAAAAAAGAGTGAAAAAAAACCTACTGGCGTCCATATGTTTCGATGATTTTTGGATGTATTTGTCTATTAATCTAAAGAAGATCAACAGGCAAAATTACCAAGGTTTTTCGCATTTTTATCCTAGATAAACGACCGCTTTAAAACTCTAGAGACAGATTTTTTTTTTTATAATGAACAAAATCCTATGATGTTAACCTTATGGAAGGTCAAGAAATTTTTTTCAAGTATTTTTAACCTACAAGAAGTTTGGCCTACGAGTAATCTACACACAAAACACCATTGAGGGGCACTTAAAAACAGATCACCAAGAAACCAAACGTAAAAAAGAACAAGATACGTGGCTCGCACCTTCTTCTACAGTTTTAAATTGTTACTGAATCATCACTCTTTCATCCCTTTGTAGGTCAACTTTCCTGTAGACCAAAAATACCACGCAGATTAAAATATTGGTAGGTCACATTTTTACGGTCAAATTTCCTGTGGGTAATATGTTTGTAGCTCAAATTTCAGGTATGACTTCATCTGCTTTACGGATTGACCTCCGATGAAAATTAAGAGGCAATTCAATTTCATTACACTGGGAAAAAACACATTGGATCTAGAGTCCAGACTCTTGAAAACGTTGACAAGAAAAATTGCTCTTGATTCAATCGGATTTTTGCTTGAATCAAAACAAAATCCGCTTAAATTAAGAGGCTTGGTTCTTGATTTAAGCAAGATTCTGATTGAACCAATAGTACTTTTTCTTGTCGATGTTTTTTAAGAGTCTGGACTCTACATCCAATGTGTTTTTTTCCAGCGTAACTAAAACACGAATGCGGATTAATTTCAGACAACATGGAAAGGAGGCACGGATGAAGTGATAGACGCGATAGCGAGAGAAAAATAATTTGATAAATGCGAAACGAGACAACAAAGCAAGACACCACAGTATTAGTCCAGTGAGACCACGAAATTGGAAGCAGGCGGAAAAGTAGGCGGGAGACGGGTACTCGACTCATCTGCTCAGTGCTCCAGTGCTCCCTCAGAGATTAACCGAGATGAGAGTGAGGAAGGGACCAAAGGGAGTGCTATGCAAAGCTTACTTTTTTATATAGCTTTCCGGGGACCGGAGCATCGTTTTAAAGCTCTTCATCAAAGTACGTTATACAAATTCAGTTGAAATTGTTTTTGTCATTGCTCTCTGATATCTTGATTCGAATGAATGCCTACAAACGCAGAGACACTAATTCACTGGAATCTTAAGGGGAGTGAGTTCACTTTAACTGGAAAAATTCACTCCAGGAAAGACGCATCACAAAAACCTCCAAAAAGCTCCGAAAATTAAGTCGTTAAAAAAGCCAAATCTTGAGAGGGGAAACGCGGTCACCCTCCTTAACCTCCGGTGTGATACACTCATTTGATCGGTCCATCGTTATTCTGTTTGTTATTCGTTGATATTTTGTCATTTGTTGTACAGACCATTGCTCTTTTTCCATTTATTGTTCTTCAAACAGACAACAGAACAAACTAATATATGGGGAGAATTGTGTCCCTTGCTCCCTTGTTATCTGCAATAGTTAAAATACACAAAATTAAATCATTCTGTTTTGCTATGGAAGAAGACTGTATACATCTTCAGACGTTGTCCAAGTTCTTTTACTTCTTTTGATAAAAAAATTATTTTTGTTTGAGACTGGTCAGTATATTTCTACAGATTTGATTTTCCACGAAATATTGTAAGTAATTTATTCTAAAGTATCTTGACACCTCAAGGAACTTCACCCTCCTCTCTATTCTGATAAGTTCATTTTTAAGACGCTTGATAGAAGGGGTGAGAGAGGAGTGTGACACGGTCCAAATTTCGAATTCCAAAGAAGGAGTCAAAATTCAGAGTGCGAAGAAAGTCATTAAGAATATTGTTTGGCGGGAAAGTTTTCTTCGAAACATTGATTTGTTATTCAATTAAAATTTTTTGCTCACTAACCGCCAATGGGCGATTTCGACGATTTCGCTGGCCGCGAAGCGGTCTTTGAGGGCGGGCAGTGCCCCGAGGATTGGGCCACGTAGCAGCAAGGGGGCGAAGCCTCCTAGTTATGAATATAATTTGTTTAAAAAAGAAGTACTTAGCCAGAGAACGTTTGCCGTTCGGCAACATTCAAGTATTCTAACGACGTTTTCCTCGCATGGCAGTATTGTGGTAGATAAAAATGGCAGCTGTGAGAGCAATCCAGTTGTTCCATCATTAAGACCTTATCGGAAAATATGCCGAGGACCCTACATTTCAATAGAACGAATCCCCTCTCTAATTTATTTCCCCATCTAAATATATTTCTTTTTCCTCGTTTCTTTTTCTTTTCGTAATCGGAACGCGTCTTTAAAAGGAGAAATATTGACTTTTGGCGACTACATTGAGGCATTTTAATTATCATTTTGTTCGGGGATTCCCTTCACCTCATTGTCGTCGCTTTGACGCGTGACTTTGACTGAAGCAGCGGAGATTAATGCGCGAAAATTAAAATATTTCCTCGGCTGTGAATCACGATAAGACCTCCGCTCCGGCGCAAGATAGCGCCAACGTCAACACCCCAGCAGTTGCTTTGACGGGTAGCTAAGCATCCAGTAAAAGTTGCCTTCTGCTCTATCCCTGTTATATTTAGTTCCCAGACTTTAACCTAGTAATAATGGTGGCATGAACAGTAATTGAATCCAAAATGTTTGGTTTCAGCTTAAAGAGGGTGACCCAAAAAATATTTGATTTTTACTTTTTGGGTTATGATTTCCTTAAAATGTAATGATGAAAAAAATAGTGCGGTCATTAAAATTCACTCATGAAGCAAATATTTTACCTATTACTATAACGACTGTTATCTTTTTTTTTTGGTGGTGCGAAGTGGATTACTCCCTCCACTGGAAAAAAAACACATTGGATCTAGAGTCGAGACTCTTAAAACATCGACAAGAAAAAATACTCTTGATTCAATCGGATTTTTGCTTAAATCAAGAACCAAGCCTCTTGATTGGAGCGGATTTCCTTTTGATTTTAGCAAAAATCTGATTGAATCAAGAGTATTTTTTCTTGCCAATGTTTTCAAGAGTCTGACCTCTAAATCCAATGTGTTTTTTTCCAGTGTACGTATTTTTTACCAAATTAAATGATAATAATCCGCACAGAATGTAAAATCATTTCAAAAGTATTACCTGAAAAACGCCGACTTTCGCGAGTTTGAATAATAGAACCTAACGCAGTGCGAGCAGCGAATAACGGGTATCAGCGCCTACAAGGCTGGTAGAATACTTCACGCATTGCGCGTACCATACGGTCAATACGCGCAATGCGTGAAGTATCCTTGCAGTCGGTGAATGACTGTACGGGCAATGCGTGAAGTATCCCTGCAGTCATGTGGGCGCTATCACGCGATCCGCGCTGTCCGTCCTATGTGTTTGGCTGTAATATTCAAACTCGCGGAGTCAGCGTTTTTTTCTATGGACTCTACATCCAATGTGTTTTTTTTTCCAGTGTCGGTTTAGATAAACTAAACAAATAATAACTTTGACAAACTTAAAGCCTTCGCCAGATCGATAACTGAATCCTATCGAATTTGCGGTGTTCATAAGTATCGCCCGTAGCTTAAGTTTGCCACCGGAAACTTAATATCCCAGAAATTGTGCATGCGCTCATGAATATTTGAATTTCTTAAATGCAACAATTCGTAATCCACGGATGCGAATAGTGCATATTCAAAAATTAAAGGCACTTTCGCTTTTCTCGTCTTTTCAGAGATGTGCGGGACTCGTTA